CAGAGAAAGTTCTAGGAGGAGGGACTTCTCAGTCTGGGGCTCCCTCACTTTGCCCTGGTCTTGCCGGGCCTGGCTTGTTTTGCCTGACAGCCACGTCAGTCTGTATTTGAGCCACTTTAGACTCTTAGCTCATGCCTTTGGTCTTGGGACCTGGCCAGTTCCTTGTACCCGGGCCGGGATTGTTGGGGACTGCCAACCTGCCCACTCCTAGCCCCAACCTCTGACAGAGCAGTTGTGTGGATGGGATCAGCTGTCAAGGGAGAGAGAAAGAGGGAGGGGGGAGAAATGTGTTGGTGGAAAGTAGGGACGTACCCAGGGAGTCCCTTCTACTTCCTGTGAGCAAGTTTGCCTGAGTTTGGAGTGGTCATGGGCCAGACACCCCTGTGTACGCAGCCTGGGATGTTGACTTTGTTCATCTCGCCCTAGAGCTTCCATGGGAATGGCTGGGGAGGGGTATTTCCCTTCTTCTCCTGGGCCTGGCAGTGGTGGGATACCCTTAGAGTTGTGACACAGCCTTAGATTGCAGTGAGCATCCCGGTCTCAGCTTGGCTTAGTTACAAGACCTGCCTCTGGGGTGCTGAGTTGGGTGAGAGCCTGCACTCCTCTGGGAGATGTGAGTGCTCCTGTTCTTGGTGTCCCCTCACCCTTGACATATCCCAAAATGCCCAGGGATAGCAGACTTTGGAAATAGATGCCCTTGCCTCCCCAAAGTGAGAAGCTGTCCACTACATGGCCTCCTCTGGCTCTTGCCTTCTGAGCCTCTCTGGGGTCCTGGAGACTGTGAAGGGGACTGGGGCACATGAGATCCTTTGGCTTCAACTTCCGCCTCTCTTGGCAGGTTTGGAGGTTGTTGCCAACTTCATCATGGTTTGTACTCCTTTCCAAGGACTGAGAGCAACATGGGGGAAGGCTCTTGCTTCAGCTGGAACATTCATTTTAAAAAGTGCCTATTTATAAGTCAGAGTCTCCAGACCTTAGAGGCCTAACATCAGAAGATTGAGGGCCTGAGCAGGCCAGTAGGGACTCATGTTCTCCAGAGCTCTGTGGAGAGTGGGCCAAGGGGCACCTCTCACAGGGGCTGCAGAAGGCAGTGCTAGGCTTATGCAAACCCGACCTCTGCCCCAGGCCGACCAGCGTCCAGAGTGGAGTCAGCTGTGTAAACTGCAGGGTGAGGTATTTATAGCTCTGAGGCATGTGGGCCTGGGAGGACGGCAGGGCTTGTTCCGTTTATGGTGGTATTAACTGAAATGTCCACATATTCTTTCTTTAGTGCTGTACCAGCCTTTCCATACCTCAGTTTCTCCAGCAGAAAATGGCAGCTGTTGTGGTCCTTGGGGGTCCACGATTGTGCCTCTCTTCACCTCGTTTTTGCAGAGAAATAGACACTGTTCTTGTTATCAAGGAAAGCCAGCGAGCCTCCTCAGAGTTCTCCCTCTATTCTGTTCCCAGAAGACCACTTCTCAGGGTGCTGGGTGGGCTTGGACGTCAGATCAGTCCCTGCTCGTCCACTTAGCTCCTCAGTAATAGTGGTAAAATGGACCCGATGCTGCCTGTCCTGCAGGATGCTGAGAGGCTGGGGTGAGTGGGGCAGCAGGTGCTTGGTGAGATGCGTAACAGATAATATGAAAGAGTTAATCCTTATCCATCAGAGTCCATTACACCTGGACCAATATCTGGGCTGAATTGTAAGCTCCTGGTCAGGATTGTACATGGGAGAACATGTATGGGGCTCTTTTTTCAGGGTGCATCCGAGGAAGACTATTCTTGGTGTCAGAAATCATCAGGCTCCCCAAGTGACAGCCATTGGGCGGGAGGAAGAAGGGGAGAACAAGCAAGAACACAGAGGGTGAGCATGAAGTGTAGTAATGGAAACTGGGCACCCAGCCACCACCTTCCTCCCTTCTTCGTGCATGCGGCTGAGTCTTGGTGGAGAACTGTGCGCCTTCGTCTTGCAGCAGGCACCCTGTGCTCCCTTTCCATTCCATTGCATTCCCCCTTCGGAGCCCCATAGTCTCAGAGTCTGCCACTGCTGCTGAGATGTGGCACATGAGCCTGCTGGCCCCCTTCCCCAGACCTCTCTCCCCTGACTAATGAGGCCAACATGCAACTTCTAGGGCCCGGGAGAATAGAAGCCAAGAATGCAGTGGATAGGGGCCAAGTGTTTTTGTTGACATTGCTCAAGTGTAGCTTTGGGGAGCAGCTTCATTGCTGTAGTGGAGAAGTCCAAGGACGCAGAGGAGCACAGTGAAAAACACCAAGTAAGGGCCCCTCTCCAGAACCTCTTCATCTTCCTGTCTCCAAAGTGGGCCCTCTGCCCCTCCCCCTTGAATATAAGGGGAAAAGCTTCAAGTCATGGCCAGTGGGGCCAGCTTCGTGAGTTAATGGAGCGCAGGCGCCTTGCCTTGGTGGGCGTTTAGACTGTACTAGTCTTGTGCATTTGTTTGTGATACTTTGGTGGGTGATGCTTACAAAATACTGTGATCCTAGCAGTTTCCAGGAAAACCACCTTTATAGAAACAGCTATGGCGAGACTATGCAAACCCTAACTTAAAAGATGGGCACAGCTTGAGTAATGCAACCAGAATGGATTTACCAGGTGTTGTTGTGCTTCAGTTAAAGGGGCCCTGCTGACTAATTGGTTAACAATCAGCTGCTATCTGGTTGGTGGGTGGGTTGAACCCACCAGCTGCTTCATGGAGGAGGAATGTGGCACTTTGTGCCTATAAAGAGTGATCTTAGCAGCTTTGTTGGGCAGTCATGCTCTGCTCTGAATTCTCAGTGTGTGTTAGGATTGACTCCAGGGCCACTCTGAGGTGGAATAAACAATGGCTGTCAGCTATGGCTTCATGTTTCAGTTTCCTTATTTGATAAGTGGAGATAATTTTTCATTTAGGACTGTGGTGAAGATAGAACATGGTGAAGTTTAGAAAGTTCTTAATGCATAATAAAATTAGTTGAATGGAAGCTGTGGAACTGTTACGCAGTAGCTGGTATGACCATGGGTTGGTTCTGATTGTCACTTATTTACTGCATAGGTAGAGTGACCCAGAATAATAGTCTCTTCCTACCTCATCAGGAGTTTCAATGATGTATAATATTGTTTTACTTTTTTCTCATTGGAAGGGAAATGAATGCAATTCTTTGCTTTATCCTCATTATTTTCTCAGACGCTGGTCTCTGAATATTATATCAGTAGTCAGTGGTCAAGTATATTTTTGTTGAGATAAAGGTTTGTAGGCTTTGGAATCCAGAAGTTTTACCATAATAGCCCCTAATTCATGAAGATATTGAATCATTATGTAAAAAATATCTAATTTTCTGCTACAGTAGCTGGCTTTATTTTTATGTCTCTTAATTGATATCAGCTTTCTTCCAGAATTACAAGATCGTGGAAACTTGGCATGAGAGGGAACCTTGGAAGTCACTGGAAGGGAAGCCCTTGCTTCTTTGCAGCTCTTTAGGGTGTCCTCTTTAAGGGGACTAAAACACTAAAGGTGTTTTTTGATTGTGAGAATAGTAGGATGGTCACTCTGTCGGCCCTTCAGCATGACCTGGTGGATATCATGAAGGGTGGTAGATACCGTCTGTGCCCCTCTCTTCTCTAGTGTATTCTGTCACAGTCCAGTTTTAACAGTGTAGCTCATTACCCAAGATTCTTTTTATCATCACCCACTTAGGGAGTTATGTTGGCCTTGTGTCAAGAAGCTGCATTGCAATCCCAAGGTACTTGGTTCGAGGCCATCAGATGGTCCATGGGAGAAAGCTGGGCAATCTCCTCTCATGCAGTTAACTGCCTCTGAAAACCCGCTGGTTGGGTCAGCTATGAGTCGGTTCTGACTCTATGGCACATAATAGCACCATCACCCAGTTTGGACATCGTGTGTCAGATTGGATGTGCATCCAGGGACAGCTTTAAATCAAGGACATAAATACTCAAGTTCCCTCATTCCTTAGGTATCTGATATGTCACCTGTATTGGCCCCATAGCTCCAAAACGGATCAAGTACTAGTTAATGTTTTTTTTTTGGCAGTTGATCTGAAACACTCCATATATTACCCTCCTTCCTTGTTCTGCTCCACTTCCTCACCACCCCTACCTGGTGATCCATCAGGATCACCCCTGATTTAGTTTACTTATGCTTGAATCCTTATTCCAGGAGCTACTTCTTGGAGTCTGGGGCATCCTGCCTAAGGCAAAGGAGATGTCTCTCTCCTCCCCTTTCTTAGATCCTTACATTAGTGTGGTGTTAAATCCACATTTTAGGACTACCTGTTGACTTTTTAAGACCACTGAATTTACATTAAGGTTAAGCAAATTGTACAATCCTTGCTTTAATCATAGGTTATCTTTGGTATTGTTTTCACAGTTTGGGCTAAACTGATATATGTGGCTATAGGTTTGCATTTCAGAGTCTAAAGTTGTCTATTCTAGTTAGATTCTACTGTGTATAGTGGTTTTTTTTCTCTGTCAGTGAAAGAGTTGATATGCATAAGTTGCAATTGATTTATTTATAATTTGTTATATTCAACCTAAGAAAAGCTCAGTTTATGAACTGTGTACAGTCTTTGTGTGTCTCCTGTTGGTTTAGGTGAGGTAAGTATTTTGATTTCTCGCAACTTCTGTAAGTTTCATGTTAGCCATCTGTGAAGTGAGAATATATCTTTTAACATATATTTACTGAGTGATGCGTACTTAATCCCACTGGGAAAAACTCTGGAAGCTAGAGTACACACTTCAAAGCCATCTTACTTGTAGGGCTGTGGAGGTGAGGTGTTTAAAGGCTAATTCCCATCTGCACTGGTTGAGCACTGCTTCTGTGAGGTAGAACCTGTAGGAGTCAGCGGCCAGAGAAGGCCCCAGAGCATCGAGAGGCTGATAGGGTCCAGGCAGAGATAAGCACGTGTTGGCTGACTGAGGTCCTGGACACCAGCATTTCTAAATCCCAAGACTTCTGTGCTGTTAGTGATGTGTGGTTGTTTTCTTCTCCTCAGAGCTTGACTTCATGGACCTCCTAGGAGAAGACAGAAATTGGATGATAGGGAGGAAGCTGATGCAGGTGAACGACACTCTGACTTTTGAAGATGCAGGACTTCGGGCCAGCAAGAACTGCACTGAGCCAGGTGAGAGCGGTGGCTGCGTGTGGAGAGTGGCTGCTGCCATCTTTAATTAGGTGCCATCAAGAGCCAACCATCATGTTTTCTTTCTTATCTTTTTTTGTTCTAATCCAGAGTTTTACGTGAGAAACATTTAGGACAGATGTCTGAGAAACTTAGAGGTGAGATCCCAAAAGGCTTTCTGTCTGCTTGCATTCTTCTCCCAGTATGACTTGGGAAGAGATAAGTCAAAGTCAGTGATTTGACTATTGATCCTGTACTGATGTCTAATGTGGAGGTAGGAGGAAATTTGGGCATGGTATGAGTGACACTACTTCCTAGCTATCCTTATTATGGTTTTCTGAGAGTCAATGGAACCTTGTTTTCATCCCAGTAAAGACACCAAGGATAGAATCAGATTGTCATACGTGATGTGAATCTTCTTGGAAGACATGAATATTTATTTTGACAGTTGTAGTACTTGCTGTTTATTATGTCTTTCTTCCACAAAATATGTGAAACTTTTAATCTCTAATATTACCAAACTGAGAAAGAATACAGAAAAGAAAGAGAATCAGAAGGAGCTGGCTTAGCCAAGCCTCAGGGAAATAGTAAGTCCTGCTTTGGACTGATGAGGCCTCTGATCGTATAGACCAGGGCTTGGAAAATGATTTCTGTAAATTGCCAGATAGTAAATGGTTTTTATTTTGTTCTTATTATATTCTTTAACAATGAGGGGGGGGGAACCAACGGTTTTTTTTTTAAAAAAGAAAAGTTTGTTTCATCATACAAAAACAGGCTATAGATGACTAAAACAAGGCTGTGGTTTGTTGGTGTAGTTTGCTAACCCCCAGGTTAGACTTGGCAGCTCCCTGAGGCCTGCCGTTCTTGCTGTTGGCTGCTTTGGACCTCAGATATGCTTCATAACTCTTTATGATCATCCATATGCTTTGGGTGCCCACTTCCAGGCCCTGGGAGCTCATGGACATGTTGAACCTGTATCCGAAGGCTTGCTTCTTTTAATTAGGACTTTTAGAGTAACCTTGAAATATAGAAACTATTGCAGCCCAAAGAGCCATGGGACTTTGAGTACAAAAATTGTTTTGTGATACTGAGCATCTACTCTTTTTGGGGAGGTAGGTAGAAATGCCTTTCCTGACCCCTACTCCCACCATACTAGAAAGAGCTAGAAATAGATATCCTACCTCCCCCTCAAAACCAAACAAAGCAAAACAACCCCCTAAAACAGTGCCTAATTTATATTCCCCAAACTAGGGAATGCAGGGTTATTGTGGCTACTGCTAACCACCCAAAAGGGAAAACCTTGATGGTTATGGAAGCACATGGACAGCAGCATTGGCCAGAAGTGGAAGCTTCTTTGGGGGTTTAAGCGGCCAGCTGAGGAGGCAGAGGCTGCATGGTGAGAAAGGTTGGTCCTTTAGGACAGGCCTGGAATGTGGAGAGGACCTGGTGGCCATTTATTCCTGTACTGAGAAAGCTGCCCATTGATCTGGTCTGTATTCAAGTACTGTTCCACAGCAAATTGGCTGATGTTGGCTGAGATGTTAGAAGGCAGGGGACAGTGTGTCACGGAGCACAGTGCCCTCTTTGGTATAGGGGATGGACTTAGACATGGACAGTGGTCTGGGAGTGACCAGACTGGATGAGGTTTGCAGGACTAGCAGGGCTGGGAAGTGATGGACTCTTGCTTTCTCTCTGAGGAGTGTGTTTAAGGGGAAGATGGTCCAGTCTTGCAGGAGTAGCATCAGGAAAGCCAGTTCTCAGAGTGACTGATAGTGAAAAATAGCACATTAAAGGCTATTGCAAGGGAGGATTGACTGAGCTTTGCAGGTTGTAAAGAAAGTGTCTAGGTTAAGAAGAACAACCTAGATCCAGTGCCTGCTAGTTTTGGCAGGGAGGGAGGGGAAAGGCTTCAAATAGAAATGAGGAAGAGAGAAGGAGGCCATGCTGTGCTGAGTAGGCACCTAAAGCATATGGGGCTGGAGGGATATTTCCCACTTCCTCATCTACTCCCTAAGGTTACATAGCTGTGATTCTTGACAACACTCTGAAATCTAAAAGGGCAGTGCTCTTAGACAGGAAGTATTCTATTAGATTCAAACACAGCCCAGCCTACTTTCCCTCAGTGTTCACAGGAACCTTCCTTCTGCTTTCTGAAACTATATGGTACAAAATATCTTTAACTATACTGTTCAGTATGGGCCTCTTTCAAATAAAAGAAAATATGAAATTCAAGTTCTCAGTTGCACCTGCCATTTTCATGTACCTACTTGAAGAATGTGTGGCTAGAGGTTCCATGGTCAGGCGAATGACTGACAACGTCCATCATCTTTTTTTTTTAAAAAATTGGTTTTCATCCACTCGTTCATCAACATTCTGTTTTATAACATTAATTGCAATTGATCGATGACTTTGATTACAACTTCTCATCAAAGATTCACTTGAAAATTCTCTTGGATTGGCCTGTAACCTTTAGCTGTCACTGTGCTTATATCCAACTCGGTTGCAAACAAGTCATGCAGTGAATCTGTATGTTCTCATAGCTCTGTCCCTTCCTTGGCCCAGGACTCAGGTCTCCCATCTGGTTTGAATAGCAGCTCAGATGAGCAGAAACTGTGAGCCTGAGCTGAGGCTTGTGTCATTGGCTTTGAACATCTACTTCTCTGTGAGATATAAGAAACCATTCTGCCCTTTCTCAGGTGCTGTGAGAAATGGCAGTGAATTGATGAAGTGTACCCGAAATGAGGCTGGAGATAGAATGATAGAATTCTGTATAATCAATGATTTATTCATTGCAAATACCTTTTATAAGAAACATAAATACAGGATGTACACATGGATTTTACCTGATGGTATGCACAGGAATCAGGACATCTGTGGAAAGAATTTCTGGAGAGGCTCACTATCAGCTGTGAGAACTGGACCAGGTGCTGATTGTGGAACAGACTATCAACTACCATATGCAAGTTCAAACTAAAGCTAAAGAAGGTTAAATCAAATCCACAGGAATCAAAATTTGACCTTGAGTCTGTCCCATCTAAATATCAAAACTGTCTCTAGAACAGGTTTGAGGCCTTAGACACCAGTGAGCAAAGACCAGATGACCTGTGGGAGGATATCAAGAATATTATCCAGGAAGAATGCAAAAGGTCATTACAAAGACAGAATAAGAAGAAAAGGCCAAATGGATGTCAGAAGAGACTCTGAATATTTCACTAGAATGCTGAGAAGCCAAAGCAAAGGGAAGAAATCAGGAAATTAAGGAATTTAACAGAAGATTTCAAAGGGCAGTGCAGAAAGACAAAGCAAAATATTATAATGAAATGTGCAAAGAGCTGGAGTCAGAAAATCTAAAGGGCCAAACTTGCTCAGCATTTCTTAAGATGAAGGAACTGAAGAATAAATCCAAGCCTCAAGTTGCAATACTTAAGGATGTTTTGGGTAGAATATTAAAGGATCCAGGAGGTATTATAAGAAGATGAAAGGAGTATATAGAGTCACTGTACCAAAAGGAATTAGCTGACACAGAAGAATTTCATGAAGCAACGCATGACAAAGAGCCTATGTTAATGGAGGAAATTCAAGCTGCTCTAAGGAATTGACAGAAAGAAAAAGAAAAAAACAGGCTCTAGGAATTGACGGCGTACCAGTTGACATGTTTCAACAAACAGATGCTGTCCTGGATGCGCTCACCAAGTTGTGCCAAGAAATTTGGAGGACAGCCACCTGGCCAGCTGACTAAAGAGATCCATATTTGTTCCCTTTCCCAAAAAAGGTTTTGGACAGAGTGTGGAAATTATTGAACAATATCATTCATTAATATCACATGCAAGCAAGATCCTGCTGAAAATGAACCAAAAATGACAAACAGCACAACAGAGAACTGCCAAGTGTGCAAGCTGGATTTAGAAGAGGTGGTGGTACTAGGGATATTATAGCCGATGTTAGATTATCTTGGCTGAAAGCAGAGAATACTAGAGGAATGTCGATCTGTATTTCATTGACTATGCAAAGGCATTTGAGTATGTGGATCACAACAAACTGTGACTAACTCTGAGAAGAATGGAAATCCCAGAAAACTTGATTGTGTTTATGTGAAACCTATACTTGGACTAGTAGGCAGTCGTCAGGACAGAGCAAGTAGACACAGCATGGTTCATAATAGGGAAAGATGTGTGCAAGAGATGCCTCCTGTCTCCATACCTGTTCAATCTATGTGCAGAACAGATCATTCAAGAGGCTAGGCTCTCTGAGGAGGAATGTAGCATCAAAACTAGATGAAGACTCATCAACAGCCTGTGTTATGCAGATGACACAACTTTGCCTGCTGAAACTGAGGAGGACCTGAGATATTTGCTGCAACAGTCAAGGACTACAACCTTTAATATGGATTGAAGTTTAACATCAAGAAAACAAACAAAAAACCCACCTGGCTGATTGCCAGCATAATGATAGATGGTTAAGAGATTGAGATTATTTACAGCATTAGTTTGCGTGGCTCCATAATCAACACTCTTGGTACCAGTGGCCAGGAAATCAAAAGACTGGTTGCATTGGGAAAGTTTGCTGTCAGGGACCTCTCCAGAATACTGAAAAGTAATGATGTCAGTCTGTAGACTAAGGTTCTGTAGACTAAGGTGCGCCTGATCCAGGCCATGGCCTTTGCAGAAAGCTGAACCATGACTAGAGATGATAGAAGGACAATTGATGCCTTTAAGTTGTGGTGCTGGAGAAAAGAATTGAATATACTAGGGACTGCTAGGAGAACAGACAGATTAGTTCTGGAGAAGGTGAAACCAGGCTGCTCTTTGGAGTCAAGGATTCTGAAGCTCCATCTTTGAACATGTTGCAAGGAGGGACTGGTCCTTGGAGAGGGCCATCATGCTTGGGAGGGTAGAGGTACAGTGCAAGAGAAGAAGACCCTGGATGAGATTGATTGACTAAGGGACTGGGGTAATAGGTGTGGGTATTTTGGAGATGGTGTGGTTGGCACACAAAATAGAGCA